ATTTTTTCGTCCCCCCCCCCCCCCCCCCCCCCCCCAAAAAAAAAAAGTCACGGGGTTCAAATCTTTTAAGGATGGTGTTGATGGACGACAGAGAGAGATAGTGGGGGAGAGATGAAAGGTTGGAGGCATTGGAGCATAAATGGAAATAGACTGTGGGGGGAGCGAGGGGTTAGTTTAAGTAGCACATTAATTGTAAAATTATTGACGAAATACCTGACTTTTTTAAATATAAAAGTATGATTGATCCTAATTTTCTCATCTTAAAATTTCGACTTTGTTAAGAAAAATAACTCAATTCCATGTATGTTGGTTTGATGTTAGCTGTATACGTTGAATCTCTAAGCATATGTTTGATATGCAGTATCAACTAACATTGAAGAGCATGAGCAACAAAATTTTAGTTCTCTTATTTTGTACTAATGATTAATATTATTTATATATTTTATCGAATATTGCACTATGACTAAATAAAAACATATTTTCTAGATCAAAAATAATAATCTTCACTTCATGAAAAATAATGTTTGCAAAAATAGTTCCAAATACACATTGTACTGAAATTTGTAAAAGTGAATTCACGTTTCTTAACTAATCAAAAACACGAGCAATACATGATTATCTATTTGAATCAGTTAAAGTGTTCATGTGATCATTTTCCAACTTTGTTTGGGTGGTGGGTCGCGGGTTTTTAACCTTATCATTTCCTTACAAAATTCATTCTCAATATCTTGTTATAGTCACACAATAGACAATGTTTGAATTTGCGTTAAATCGTCGTTACGTAGTATTTGCAAATCTAATTTTATAAAACTAAAAGTGGGCAAACATTAAGAAATTTGAAACACTATTCATCTTTACGAGGATCATATATATGACACCTTTAACGAAGAATTGAACTTTTCGATCTTTAAAGATGAGTTGCACAATTGCATTTGTATTATCGATTTATAAGGGGCTTGAGTCTCGAGGAATGAATGATCAAAAATAGGGAAAAAATTTATTCTACGAAGTGTGGACAAAAATAGATCTTGATTAGCTTATAGACAATTATAAACTTTGCCAACCATGTACTAAGGCTCAAGACATGTTGTGCAATTTTTGTATATTTAACTGAACATGGCTCTATGACACTTTGTGGCTTCGTGCACGTATGATACAACTGAAGGTACAATTTGAGTTATTTTATTTATGTATTTTGGGTAAGTTTGAGTTCAATTTTGAAAAATAAATCTTGTAATAATAATTTTTTACGGAATGTGATTTTAAAAATAGGAAAAGTTTTGAGTTTACGTATAAAGTTATATTGAAAAAATGTATGTTTAAAAATGAATTTGAGAAAAAAAACAACTTTTTAAAGTATGAAGCTAAAATAGGAACTTCGAGAGGCATACTTTTTCAAGCAATTGGAATTAATACCAAACATTTCGTGCCCAAATCACATTCATTAAATTGCGATATAGATTAGAGAAGATGAGCAAAAGAAACTGAAGGACGATGCGTAATATTGGTATTACTAAAAAACATGGAATCCTTTTTTTTTTTTTTTTTCAATAAAAATGTTTCTAAGAGATTCTTTAAAAATGAAATACTCTATATATTAAAGAGTCAACACTTGAAATTATGCTCTAAACACTTTTTTATAGGGCCAGACATAGTTCAGTTCGATCTAAATCGAATTAGAACTTTAAGATATTTAGCAAGTGAAACTATTGTGTCAAATTTGATTATTGAACTGTATCAATTCAATTTTGTTCGGTTTGATTCAATTCAATTCGGTTTCATTCGGTTCAACATAATTTTAATTTTTTAACATTTACAACATTACATTAATCCAACTAATAATATGTTCAATATGGAAAACGTGCTAAAAGAAGTGTGAAAAATATTTAGTCAAAAAAGGGTGAAAATAATGAACACGGCAATGAAAGTAGCTGCTGAGAGAAATGAAAACATGCAAATGTGCCAACTTGCAATAAAACATCTTAAACACTGGCTATAAATTATAATGTTTATACATTGAGCATAAAAATTTATTAGAAATGAATGAGATAAAATTTACCTGGATCAAAATGGAGAAAATTCAATAAATTGGATTAAAAAAAAAAGGGTTAAGATGAAGAGAGGTGCTGTCACTCAACTTCAATTATTGGAGAAATTGTAGAATGATTAAGAAAAACTTAGGTCACTTAATTTTGATTCTTTGAAATTTGAATTATAAAGTTGGGTTTGGGCTCAAAACAAGAAAATGATATTTTTGACTCAATTAATTAGTTGGCGAATGAAATATGAAAATGATATTTTTTTAGGTCAATTAATTAGATGACAAATTTACCTAGAAAACAATTAAAATAATATGACCAATATAATAAAAAAATTACAGAGATTCGGTTATTGGTTTAGAGTTGAGAATTGAACCAAACCCTTCGATCTCGATTCAAATATCCATTCAGATATTTAACTTAAGAATAGTTGCTTAGTTCGATTTTAGAGTTTTGTCCAACTTTACTTTTTAAATTAATATTTGACGATAGAGAGTGGACAAAACTCCTCTCTATAATCAAATATATTCACAATGTTACTATTCTGAATGCTCCATTTATTGATCCAACTAAGCTCATATTTTGTTGGGGATCAAAATCAAAATTTTAATTTAAGTTAACAATTGATTTTAATCACGTATTTTTGGAGTCTACAACTTTTAAACATCATATTTTATCAACTTTGTTACAATATACTAAAAGTTTGATTTTAATCACAACTAACAAAGCTAAATAATATGTAAAAAGAAGAAAGAGAAGAAATGAAATAATATAATAATTTGGATGAAAGTTCGCGAAACTAAAAGAAATAGTAAAATAATAAATACATCTCGAGAATAGTAACGGTTTGGTAGGGAATAAAATAAAATTTTAATCTAAATCAAATCAATAACTAATTTTAATCAAATATTTTATGAATTTCGTAACTTTTTAACCATATATTTTATTAACTTTATCAAGATTTATTAAAAATCTTATTCTAGCATCCACCAAACTAGGTAAATGTTAAAAATAAAAATGATATTAGAGCAATTAAAATTTTTAATTCTATTATACTAGCTAAACTAGACTTCATTAAAAGACTTTGAAAAAAATATATTTTGGAATAATAATTTTTTTTGGAGAATGTATGTTTAGAAAATAAGGAAATTTTTTTAAATTTAAGTGTAATATTATTTTTATAAAATTAAAATGGAAAATCAAACGTAGTATAAAAGAGTAAATTTAACCAATAATCACTGAACTTTACACTTGATTACTACTTGCTCACTCATCTTTCACATATTACTGAATGCTCACTCATCTTTTCATATAATTACTCATTCACCACTCGTCTTTTCAAATAATTGAGCTATTTTTACAGCAAATTTTCGACAACTTCCAACCACAAAGAATGTCGAATTTTGATACCGTTGGAAAGCCCACGATATCCTCTTCAATTACCACCCAAAATCTCATTATAACTCCAAGGGATTCGATCGAAAAATTGCCTTAAAAGTAGCCCAAAAATTCTGAAAATCTGCCCAGATTTTCAGATTTTTGGGGCAACTTTTAAGGCAATTTTTCGGCAACTTTCGACCATCAAAACTATCTAATTTTGATACCATTGAAAAGCCCACAATGTCCTCTTCAATTACCACCCAAAATTTCCCGATAATTCTAAAGGATTTGGTCGGAATAAACTCATAAATTTAGCATCCCAAACTTTGTCCAGATTTTCGCCTTTTCAAGATGCTGATTTTGTGAATTTATTCCGACCGAATCCTTTGGAATTATAGGAAAATTTTGGATGGTAATTGAAGAGGACATTGTGGGCTTTCCAATTGTATCAAAATTCAATAGTTTTGCTGGTCGAAAGTTACCGAAAAATTGTCTTAAAAGTCGCCCAAAAAATCTGAAAATCTGGGCAGATTTTCAAAATTTTTGGGCAACTTTTAAGGCAATTTTTCGATCGACTCCCTTGGAGTTATAATGAGATTTTGGGTGATAATTGAAGAGGATATCGTGGGCTTTCCAACGGTATCAAAATTCAACATTCTTTGTGGTCGGAAGTTGTCGAAAATTTGCCGTAAAAATCGTCCAATTATTTGAAGAGACGAGTGGTGAATGAGTAATTATATGAAAAGATGAGTGAGTATTCAGTAATATGTGAAAGATGAGTGAGTAAGTAGTAATCAAGTATAAAGTTAAGTGATTATTGGTTAAATTTACTCAGCATAAAATATGCAGTTTTATGCACAATAAAAACATAGAATCACATGAAAATGTTATACGAGTAGTCCTCTCCCTCTGATTCTTTCTTTCAAGTACGATATACAGTTTTACTAGATCACGGAGTGAGAGCAAGAGTGGGAGAGAGTCATTGGCGCGTGCTGCAGGCAAACACTTCGAATTACAAGTTCTTCTCTGACAGTTTGAACGTCTTCCGAAGCCTTTTTTTTTTCTTTTTTGGCCATTTTCCGTTTTATATACTGATTGCTTAGACCTTCTCTTTAATCTTCTCCAGGTATCTTTTCTTGCTTATGGTATTATTTGTTTACTTTTTGGGTGACTGTTTAACTGATATTATAAGTAGTGAAATAGGGTGGGTTTAGAAATTCTGCCATTGATTTATTTATTCTAATTAATGGTTTCTACTTAGGGATTTTGGGTATTTATTGTTAAGATAGGATTTTACTTATATTTTGTTGAGTACAGTTTTAAGATTTGCTAATTAGTGAAATTAATGTTTGAACTTTGGTTTCTTTGATTTTTCACCTGCAGGATTTGGTAATTAACACTTGGGATTGCCAATTGATTTGTCAAATTTATTGTCCTCTATTTTAAATTTTTGCCTTGATCATGGATTTCTTCTCTGCTTTTATTTTTATTTTTTTATTTTTTTTAACACATAGTTGCGAGTAAAATTGACCTTATGTGGAATTTATATGTTTGGCAAGATTTGTACTCTGGACAAGGATTAGTTCATCATTGTAATTTGTCAATTTGCAATAGCATTGTTGATAATTAGGAAAGTGCATTGAATACCATTGAAAAGTTTGCATCTTTTTAGTTTGGATAATACAAATGCAGGATTTGGGAAATAATGACATTCAATACTTGTATGAAAAGAATGGGACTCATGACCCTGGGGGTGGCTGGTGGGCCGGGTGGCAAAACTCTATATAGAGGAAAAAATTTCTGAAAATCCTTATGTTTCAATGACTTCAATCAAAAAAGACTTGCATGAAGGAGATAAAGTATTAGGCCCTTATTGTGATTGGATAAGATAATTTAAAAATTTTCATATTTTCAGTTTGGATAATACACATGGTATGATGGGAAGTAATGGCCCCTAACTGTTATGAAAGAGTAAGACACGTCACCAAGATGGACCTTAAGGTTATTGGGTTCTCTCCCCAGCAGGGCGGTAAAAATCCTATAGAGAAATGGCCACTTAGGACGATCTACATGGTTTGATAAAAAAATACTTGCATAAAAGAGATTGTGTTAATTTCTCTGTGTTGCATTGAACTTTATTAAAGTACAAGGAAGATAATAAAAAAGTTAGCATTCATTTTTCACTGATGCAAATGGCAGGATTTGGGATATGGTGTTTCCTATTACTTGTATGAAAGAGTTGGAGACTTGTTTACTGCATTGTGTTCTAGGGTACCATATAGAGAAAGTTCTAATTTCTGAAAGTTCCCTTGCATCAATTAAGAAATTCTTTTGTAAAAGAGACTGGGTATAAATTGTCGTTGTAATTTCACAATTTTGTAATAGCATTGTTGCACTTAAGCAAAGTAAGGTGAAGATGATTGAAAAGTTTTATTTCTAGTTTGGATAATATAAATGGCAGGATTTGCCAAATAACGATACATCCTACTTGTATGAAACAGATGGAGACTTGTGACCTGGGACAGAAAGGAGATAGAAGGTTTTATTGGGGTCGCTGGTGTAGGTGGCGAAACTCTATAGAGATAGAGTGACAATTTCTGACAGTCAAGAATGGATGTCTTTAATTTTCCATTATCTTGGAACTTTTTTATTATAGGTGTTTGATCAATGTTGGTTTACTTAGCTATAAGAAGCTCTTGCTGTGCCCTTGGGTTTGTGACATATAGCTTCTGTAGCAAAATTTGGTCTACAGTTTATTCGTTCCCTAAAAGAGATTGGGCATATCCCCTTTCTAAATGAGGAGAAAAACCACCTGCTTTTTCCTTTTGGTCTCAAAGAATGGATATCTTTTGTTTGCTATTATCCTAGAATTTACCCCACCCCCGCCCCTCCCCTCCCCTCTCCACCAACTCCAAGAGAAAAGGGAGAGGATCTTTTAGTTGTTATGGCCACTATGGGTGCTTGAGGTTGGCCCTAATGTTTAGTTGACTATCCCTGGTCAAAGTTTTCCATGTAAATGCCCTGCATATATATTTGTAGCTTTTTGAAGCGCTAGGGTACCTTTGTGAGACCAATAAATTATATCTGTATTACATATGAGGGAGAAAAGGAAGAAACGTGGAATAGAGAGTGAAAGAGTTTAGCAAAGGGACATTTTTTTATGACGAATGTTATCTAGGCTATTGAATATTTGCTTGAGTCATGGACTTGGCTTTCACCCATGCTCTCCCAAGTGTTTCTTGTAATTAATTGACATAGAAATGAGACTGAGATTGGAACATGAAATTCATGGATTAGTACATAGTCTCTCACCTGAACCATATATATCCAGCAAAACCCCCGTCTCCCTAAAGAGGATTAAATTTTTTTTCACTAAAATAGATGAATAAATAATTAACTACATCCTAAGCCCTTGGTCTAACACAATTGCCAAATATATGACTCAGAAAGTCTAGCCAGTCAAAATTCCGGGCAACAAAATTTATCAACTGTATCAGATTGAATTATAAGTGGTATTGTCCAGCATGATCATGGAACCATTTGATTTGTTGAACTTACACTATGGCTTAATAATTGTGGGTTGACATTTGAAAGCAGTCACTTTTGCTAAATTTGTTTGGGCGTCCCCCCCACACCTATTATTTTGTGAGGGTGTGATTTTTTATCCTTCCAGTGTTGCTTGGATATTCTATATTATTTTTGAATTGCCATTGAGATATATTTGATTTCTAGGTGTATAGTTGATTAATTCAATCTTGAATTTGTTGATACTAATTCCACGTGGATATGAATTTCTCACTTCAGATTAATGTTTGATTGCTTGATATGTTTCGTTGCCCTGGCAGGTTCCATCACTTGCTTAGCAGTGAGAACAAGTGTAGACATTTTGCGTGAGTCACAATGTACAGGCAGTCCCCTAGTAGGACCCACAGATCTAAGGGAATCAAGATTAAGCATGTTCTGCAAATTTGTTTATTGCTTGCTGTTTGCTTTTGGTTGATATACCAAGTCAAGCATTCCCATGATAAGAAGAAAGAATTTGATGAAAGTGATTCGATAGCCTCACTAAGTAGAGGAAGTAGCAATAAAATTTTAACTCTTGGAAGGAAAGACATCAGACCCCGAGTGGAAGAAACAGTTAAGAATGAGAAACATGATGAAGCAGCAATAGAACAGGAATCAATTGAAGAAGTAGAAGACGATAAGCGTGAAGAACACGAGCAAGAAATCAAGAAAGCTGAACAAAGAGAAGATGAAGGGATGGAAGGTGAAGATGACGAGATAAATGAGCATGAACATGAGAAATCTGATGCAGAAATTGATCGAGAAGAGGAATTTATAGAAGAGAAGGAAGGAGATGAGGGTGATGAGAACAGTACGGAAGAAAAAGATACTGAAGAGACTAATGGTGAAACTGAGAAGGAAGGTTCTATAGAGGACAACAATCATGATGGAGATGAACATAGTGCACATGAAGCACGCGAGGAACATTACAAGGCTGACGATGCTTCTAGTGCTGTGGCACATGACAATCAAATCATTGATCCTGAAAACGAGAAAGGAAGCTTAGAAAACACAAAGGAGCAATGGGAAAATAAAGAGAACGGTGAGGAAATCAATTTAGATGACAAAAGAACAGATTTAGAGGTGAGGGATCGCAATATGACTAAAAGTGATGACCATTCGAATGTAATAACCAATATAGAATGGAAAAATAAAGAGAAAGGTGAGGAAGTCAATTTAGGTGTCAATAGAACAAATTTAGAGGTGAAGGATGGCAGTATGTCTAAAAGTGACAATCAGTCGAATGTAACAACCAATGAAGCAGAGGAGAAGCTGAAGGAAAAGTCTGAGAACAGCTCACTTTCAAATGCTACATTGACAGTAGTGTCCAATGACCATATAGAAACAAGCAACAACTCGTTAGAGATGAGAATGGAGAGTCGTGATCCATCCTTGCAGAATGGAACTGAGAGCAAGTTGGTGTTAAATCACGGTGAGAACGGGACTATTGGGGGTACAACATCAGGAGTGGCCAATAATTCCACTTCAGATATGGTTAGTAATCATGTTGATTCTAATTCAACGATTCCTCCGAAAAATAAAGACTTGGAATCAAGCTCGTGGGAGTTCTCTGACTCATCTAATGATTCAGAGTCATCTGTAGCCGAGAATATCAGATCGGAGTTATCTGTAGAAGCAGGAAATAACACTGAATCTTTAACAGTAAAGAATGATGCTACTGAGGCTGAGAAATCAGATAACGATGGTGGAACAGATGAATTCTTGGACAAGACATCCGAGGAAGTGCAACATGACCCCATCGATTCATCTGATTCGTCTGATTCGTCTAATTCCTTGGACAAGAAAGATGTCCTAACAAATCATGAAACCCTCCCAGAGATACAATCTGCAGGAACTAGCATAGAAGATGCTGCAGCAGAATGAAGGTGTAGATTGGATTAGTCTTTCAATGCTGGCGTTTTCCCTCTATTTTTGTTTTGCAAACTTGGTGTTCATTTGTGTGAAGTACGGATCACTGTCCAGAAAATGCAATTTCAACTTGCTGGTAAACCGTAGTCAAGGATGATGTTCTTTTAAGGTTTTGATCTGTATAATCAATATTTTGTTTCTTTTAATGTCGGAGTTTTGTTTGTTCTCTTTATTCTTTCTTGATTTTAAATTTGTTTTCGTCGGAATAGGAGGATACTCATCTTGGGGTGGGCTTACTTAAATGCTTTCAGTAGTTATTCCCCCTCGTACCACGGTCCACTAGGCATGAACAACCCCACTTGGAAAAGTGAATTAAAATACGATAAAAATAAAGTAAGTAAAAGAAACTTCCCAAATTATGATTCGACTTTGTGTTCGTAGTACAAAAAGTAGTGTGTTCACCTTAAGCGTAGATAAGCTGGAAAAAACGGTGGTAGGTTAAAAGAACAAAAAGGTTGAAAATAAATTGACTAAAGAACAATTCAATCTGATTAGTTACACACTTTTACATCAACTTGGGCGTCTCTCATCAACAAGACATTCTTCTTTAGCGCCTGGGTGTTGTGGCGGTTTGTGTTTGCGGTCCGGTCGAGCTCTTGTGTCCGACTTCAAGTGCACTGAATTGCCTTAGCCAAAGTATTGGCCTCTATGGCTCGACGGAGAGCAAAAGGAAAACAAACAATTCTAATTAATCACTGTACACTAACAAAAAGGAGCAAAAATTGACGGCAGTTTTAACTGCATATCCAAGAACCAAATCCTGAACGCAGTCTCAGAAAATGATGCAGCGCGAATTGCGTTATTCGAGGTGGAATTGTCTCAGTTGTTTCTTGAGTTTCTGAGAAAACAACCTACAGGCATCCATGCTTAGATCCATGGCGGCAGCCAATGCCACAAAAGCTGCTGCATCCTCCGTGCATGTAATGTGCTGCATCCCAATTTCCACCTCTGGTTGGCTGCATTTACCATCGCCCTCGACCGTAGCTGACATAACAAAGCCTCTGTAAAACATATTTGCCAAAGATCCGGATCCTGTTGTGGATCCGAAATCTGTTCCGGAACCGGACCCTGAACTAAGATCAAAGCTGCTATTAGGACTAGTCATTGGGGTTGAACCTGTGGTTATGTCAATGCTGAATTTCCCACCATTTTTCGCACTAATCGTTGAATTGGCTAGTGGGATAGTGTCTATGCCGCCCTCGGAGATGAGTTCGAAGCGGTAGCCAAGGAGGAAACCACCATTGCCCTCCCTCCAGGCCTCCAGGCGGCCCCAAGGCTTCCAAGTGCTGTGGCCGTGTCGAAGAATGAGCCATGCTCCTGGATTATATCGGCTCACCCTATCGGTGCCAGGCGATGGCACAAATGGTGTCACCATTGATGCAGCGGCTACAGGCGAGCCAGAGAGGTCGTGGACGGTGATCGACCACCCCTTTCTTTCTTTCATCGGCTGTTCTTTATCAGCTGTTACTGAACTCAAGCAACTGGTTGAGGTACTTGGCTCAGATAAGGAAGATCTGCTCAATAACAATTCAAGAATTAGGGACCATTTGAAGAAAGATTATGCTGATTGGCAGTTAAATGTACGCTTGACCAATTGAGCATAACTAATCATTAATAAACTTGGTGCCATTCTCAACAACTATAGGCCACAATCATGGAGGGATTTATTAAGAGTGAAGGTTCCATCTTAAAATGTAAACATTAAGAGAAGTGTTCTAAATTTTTCTATGTTGGTCTACATTTCGATATTTAACCGATGTGGGATTATTTGAATAAACTAATCTTGAAATCCATGTGCTCATTTTTTGAGTCCTAATCAGATCAAATTGTTTATTAGAACTTAATGAGCTCTGATATCATATTAACACTTGATGATCTATCTTAAAATGTGAACATTCATAGTAGTAGTCCAAATCGTTATATATTGGTTTATATTTCGGTATTTAACCAATGTGAAATTTATAGTTAACAGAATTATAAGAATCCCATATCTTACAAATTAAGCCTTAGTACGACCCATAAAGATATTATTTGAAAACTAACAAAGAACACAAACTTAGGAGGTGTAGTCAATTGATACTTTTAATGACTTTTTGAGATTTAAAAAATTTAGAAATATTCAATATAGACTTTTTGTGACTTTCTAAAAGTATTGATGCATTTAATTTAGGGCCTGTTTTGTTTGGATTAAGATATGATTTTAATATAAGTCAAAGTCAAATAATCAATATTAATCATGTTTTTCATGGGTTTCACGATTTTTCGAGCACACATTTCAAAAACTTCTATTACAATTTACTAAAAAAATCTAATTTTAATCCTCACTAAACACCCAAACTTTTGTAGGTTTTTAAAAAATCTCTAAAAGTTATGGTGTCAATTAAAACTTTTTAGGAGTTTTTATAAGTATTGAGGTATTTAAATTTTAATGACTTCTAAAAACTTTTATAAAAGTCTTTAAAGTACTAACTTTTAAGCGGAATATACTCGTATAAAATCTCAAAATTTGTTTCTCATCCTTCTACAACTATTGGAAGAATGATTAAAATTTATTTTTTTACGATTGATTATATTTATTTCCATTTATCTTTCCCTCTTTTATTGTTTATCTCTATTTTTTATGAAAAAATTAAATTGAATTATTGTAATTTTTTTCTTTTTTCATTCATTTTTTTTGTGAAAAATATCTATTTTTTAATTATATTATAATATTTTATATGAAAAATTTATAATTATATTTAAATATATTGATTTTATTTATTTTTAAAAGGATATTATAAATATTAAATTTATGGTTTATCTTATATATGTATAATTTTGATTATTACTTATTTAGTTAATGTCTTAGAGTTTTATTCTTTTAATTTTTTTATTATTATATGGGAATAAGAAGGGAAAGGAAAAAGGGAACTGTCTGAATCAACACTTCATATGTGAGAATTTCAAACCATTATTCTAGATCCATGAGAATTCTATTTCAAATTAAAGTTTTCAAAAGTTTTTTAAATTCTAGTAAAGTCTATAAAAACTTTAAAATAAAAGTTCATAAAAGTCTAGGAAAAACTTCAACCAATTTCATACAAATCTATACAAGATTTACGATATTCACAGAAGTCATCACTTAAAAAAAAATCCATCAAAGTCTTCAAATATTTCAATTGAATTCACCCTTCTTATAGTATATCACAGAAATTTTATTGAGCAATAAGAAGTTTAAAAATGTACCAAGATTTCAAAATCAATTACCAAAAACAATTTACCTGCATCTCAAATTCCTCTCCCCAGAATTTCTGAAACTGAACTTGCAAGTAAAAACAGGCTGCTTAACATTCCCACTGACCTGAAAAACTTGTGGACTACACTCTGGCTCCCCATCAAACTTGAACACAAATCTCGGATCAGGTTCAGCCCTTACATCCAAATTCAATTTTGCTTCAGACCCACAAATTAAAACCCAACCATTCTGAATCACACAACTGCCGCTATTATTACTGTAATTCTTAATAAAACCCTTTAAATCCAATAGAACCGCAACATATCCCACAAGTTTCTTTCTCCTCATAAACCCACAACTGTATATATCCTCTCTCCTGCCCATGTAAATCTCAATCTCCAATAACGGTAATTTCCCAGCTGTAGTTTTCGATTTTTCTGCTAATTTCTCCATTTCTGGTTTGTTCAAGCTGAAATAGGCGTGGATTTTGCTCGCAACGGCATCACTTTCTTGAACCTGCAATGGGATATTTAAAACCTGAGTAGAAAACCCTTTAAGCCTGATTTTACAGTAACATGGAAACGATCGATGATCAGGAAATTTTACTGCAAGATTTCCTATAACAATCCGAACAAAAGGACACGGATCCATTTCGGTAATAATTCAGGGTTGAAGAGGCCAGAGGGAGAACCTAAAAATCAGCATATACATGTATATTTTTATGTATATGAATTATGATGAGAGGAAGGAGGTCTAGTGAGAGAGAGAGTGTGGGTGGGTGCTGCAGGGTGCATGGACGTGCGTGCGGGGTGAGCTGGGTGCACGTACGAGTGACAACAATGGGAATCTATCTGTAATTTTAGTATTAATATTAACAAGTTATGGACAGTTAGTACGAGGATTTGTCGTTTTCTTTCTTTTCTTCTTGGGATTGATTTGGAGAAAACTAGGTTTGATTGGAGACAGCTGTCAGAAAAGCTTGGCCTTTGGTGGCAGTTGGACTAGGATTGGACGATAGTCTTCAACACTTTCGACTTGGGTCCCACTAGCCTAACAGTTCAACTACAAACATGCAGGGCCTCTTTATCAATCTGTATAAATGGGCTGGACTCCAGCCACTTGTGGGTCGGCCCGCAAAAAGTTCGAGTTGACCTAGCTCAAGGCATAGATCGAGCTCCATCTTGAGGTGTCTGGCCTAGCGTTAGCCGACCCGGGTGGCTCTCGAGCCGACTCAAAAAAAAAAAAAAAAAAGGGCCGCCTTCGGCAGCATGGCTGCTACCTTTCTATGTGTGCCTTTTAAGGCAGCTTACCTTCATAAGGGAAGGGGAAAAAAAGGCTCGGCTTAGGTTAAAAAAAACTCGTCTTAAAAAAAAAACTCGAGCCAAGCCCAAGCCTCAATTTTAGGCTCGAGAACCGGCTTGAATCGACTTGTTGACACCCCTACATTAAGGCAATGAAATTTAGCTCTGGCCCACTATTTCAACAACCCAATTGCAAGAACGAAGCTCTACCAACTGAGCTCTATCCCCCGAGCCAAGTGAGGGCCTTCACTTGAAAGCGAGTTCTTCGATAAGCGAGAATGAGTGATCCACTATATCGGAAAGGAATAATGTGCAATTTCGAGTTGTCAATTATATCCCTTATGGAAAGGGCAAACCAATTCGAGGAATTTTTCTGTTACAAATATTCATACTATATCAACATTTCAGAATTGTGGAAATCACATTTTTAGTTGTTCTATATCTCCATGAATCTAGGAACTTCTGCTTGCATTGTATTATTTGGTCTAAATGACTTGTTTTTGGTAATAGATGAACATTACCATATGTAAACTCAGGTAGATGATACATGTCTGAATTGGGATCCTGAAGCATATAAATACAAATGGAGCATGAACCCCTTTGTGAGGAAACCGTCAATCTTGATGTACAAACAACTTTACAAATCTTAACTACTCGAATAGAGAGATTCAGTCCGATTTTGCTTAAGTTTTAAATGTATTAAAACGTTAAATCAATCGATTCTTATTTGATTCTTGATTTTAGTCCAAACTCGAAATCCATAAACTGACGTGACCAAATTAACCCATAACCTTTTTTTTTCTTTTAAAATATTGGAATAAGCAATCACAGAAAACAATTTTTTGTTGTTTTCTTCATTATTTTATACCACAATTAAACCATTTCAAACCATTTGCGTCAATAACTTGGGATTTTTTTTTTTTTTTTTAATAGATGCGAACAAAACAAAATCGAAATCATTCAATTCAATTCTGCTTCAACTCTATAATTACGTATAATATCAACAAGGAACCTTTCGACATAGATTGAGCTCGATGTAGGGTTGGTGCCGAATGTGTCGAGTTGTAGTAGACAATTCCTTCCCTTGCTAGGTTGGATTTTTTGTTTTCTTGTCCTGTCCTTATACTCAATTAAGACGGGTTCAAGGCGGGGCAAATCCCCTATCCCATTTAATGTCCTATAGTTTTTATTTTTTTGAATTTTTTAGTTGATGAAAATCATTACATTTTTTCAAATTGTAGAAAAATTTATGTTTTCTTTAAAAATGATGGTGATTCTATATTTCTATATATTAAAAATTTGTATTTTGAAAGGAATTTTAAATGGGGTGGGAACCATGTTCCCTTACTTGCCCCATGCACCTGATTAGCTAGGCATGGCTCTGCAGGTATAAAGTATAACGGGTTTTTTGCTATTCCTAGCTTAATGGTTACGCCAAGCATCCTAAGTTCATATTTTATTGAATTTTTTACCTTTTAATTATTTTTTCGTACGATTTAGCATAGAGAGGCCTTATTATGTGATGCAACATGGAGAAGCTTGTCTAAGTTCATTCTTCTATTTACATTTTACTCATTTTCTTTTCTGTCTTAAAGAGACAGTTTACTTATTAATAAAGACATGTTGGGCACCATTAACTTCATCTTCACATTCTCACAATTTTACTTTTAGATATTTCTATTTAATAAAAGCAATATTTTACTCGACTCTTTTCTAAAAATATGGTAAAGAGTAGAAGACATATGTTCAACCATAATTACTTTATGCCAATGAGAATCCACTTTCAAAATCGATAATTACTAGAAAAGGGAAAAAAAAAATATGAAAACAACTAACTCCTACATTTGATAGTTTTACGATTAGATTTATTTTTATTTTTTTGCAACAGATGGATTATTTAAAAATTAAAAATTCTTGAAAAGATCGATTTCATGTTCATGCACAAGCGCCCACATGCATGTACTATTGATACATCTTATACACAAATTCTTACCGGCCATGTCTTGATCCGGACACCATTTTTCGTTCCTGAAAGCTTAGCTCTATTCACGACTATACCTGAGACATAAGCTTCTGAATTGCGATATCCCAAGCTTCTGATACTAGTTAAGCAGAAAAATTGAAAAAACAAGATAATAAAACAGTTAAAGAAATGTTACTTTCAATAATATAAACGTTTTTATAAGATCAATTAATGTTGGTGTCTTGAATGTAAAAACCTGATGCCATGACCCGGTCCACAAGTGATATCTGTCGCCTGGACATTCTGCGATCCATTGACTATTGAAATGCAGTCGTCACCTTAACATAACAATGAGCATTAAACGAATAAAGAAATATTTTTTAATTGATCAATATCACACCTAGTTGAGATGACTATTATATATACCTGTCCCTATTGTACAACTCGAAATCTCAATGTTTTGGGATTTTGAGACATGAATGCCATCGGTGTTGGGGCTTCCCTCGGGAGCAGATATTGTGAGATTTGAAGCTTGAACATTTTTGCACTTCTGGAAGGACACGTGAATTTGTTGTGCATTTTGAATCTTTAGGTAGAACTTGTTGATCATGTCGAATAGAAGTTCACCTTTTCTTCGGATTTTGAGATTTATTATTATTATTATTATTATTATTATTATTATTATTATTATTATTATTATTATTATTATTTAAGAACTGAATTATACTATTTATCTTTTTATATTTTACAAAAAGTACGATAAAAATAGAAATCAATTGAAAGAAAAAATTATTTTTAACTCAATAAGGACCGATTTGCAAAAGAGATAATAATAAGTAATAACTTATAAGTTAAAACTTTCAAATATCTTTCTCGTACTATGTAGATAGAAAAATTTGAAGGACTGAGAATGATGTAGATACGCATGTACGTTATATTTCGCATTACGTAGTCTTTGATTTACCTTAACTTCAAATTTTAAAATTAAATAAATCAATAAATCCGTTGCTAACGGAAATATATATTTAGAAATAGAGAAATAGAGAGAAAGTATTTTGCATGAAAACTCATAATCTGGTCTTTTTGCATATATTTAAAAAGCGTTTACTACTAAAATTGAAATGCTATCTTACTATTTATTTCAAAAATCACAAAGCTTGTGTGAGATAATTATCATTTAACAATACATTGGGAATGAAATATGGTCCAAAAACATCTTTTGCTTTGCATGTAATTGTTGAGGCGCTGAAAGAATGAGGTTAGTAAAGTTGTTTTAACCCATTGAATTTTTGTATATCTTACAAATAAATTTCTATATAAGTGACTCGATATGTCGCTCTCTATTTCAAAAGGGACATATTGTTGATATATATTTTTATTTTAAAAGTATATGACACATAGAAGCCTCTATTATGTATTATATTTATAGCAGCAAAAAAATTGAAAGATAATAATTAAAAAAAAAAAAAACCTCAAACATTAGAGTTTCATAAATCATGCAAGTTTTTCCCCCCTTTTACGGCTTCTTTTTTCATAGTAACAATTGAATTGATTTCACTTCTTATTCATTCCCGAATTTTCAACTTTTAATATACTTTTATAAACATTAACAACTTTGATTATGCAAGTATTAACTTTGTGTTTCAACTGCTTACAGATTGATTGGGTATTAAGGTGGAGATATGTTGCATTTTGATAACCAATAAATCTCAGATGATGATTTAAAATAGATGTCGGATAATTTATTGATACCATAAGTTTGACTCGACCCAAAAACAACCAATTCACTTGAAGTAAGGCCCAATTCATATGAATGACCTAGTGTCTTGCTAAATCTGTTTTGCTCCGAGCCGTGTTTTCCTTGGTGTGGATTACAATAGAGCAAAGGTGAGAAAGAGGAAGCCGAGGGGCGGCCATGTGGGTGTTGTGTGAAATCAACCATTACTTCATCCTTTCTTCTACATTATAATCACCACCCCTTTGTGTCCTTTGTGGATTAGATAAGGGTAACCGGAGTGGGTAGAAAGAGGGAATTGAAAGTGCAATGTTGTGGGTCTAGCCGAGTCCTCCGGTGGTTTCGTTTGATTGGTTTTTCTAAGTCCGGAATTAAAGATTTCTCGAAAATTTTCGTGTTAACTAAGGTGCAATTAACTGTATTTTTTTCTGCTCATGTTTTGTACTGATTTTTCAAATGGAGCCCAATTTAAGTGTATTTGTGTAAGCTGCCATATTAACAATTCCAAAGAATGAAAAAACAATTCAATGACAAAAATAGACAGTACAACTAATAACACTAAAATCAAATGTGAACGATACAAGATAAATAGAAAAGCATAAACGAAAATCTTATTACCAAATACGTATATATCTTTTGATTAAAATAATAAAAACAATTGATCCCCAAGAATATTTTTCTACAGAAAATACAAAAAATTTCTGGATCAATTTTCTATAGTAGAGTCCATTAATCTAAACGCTGTTTCTTGAAAGGAATATGACTTTCTACTTTCTTTTGATCACTAAGAACCTGGATTCTCTCGCCAGAGTAAAGCGTAAAATCTGAGTAAGTCTCCGGTAACGCAGGCAGCAGGTTTAAGTTGAAGTCGACTGTACTGGTGCACCCATTGCAGTTGCGTTGGATGGAGGCGCCGCCCTTGGATGTGATCAGGCCGGTTTTCTTGCCGCCCTTTATGACGCCTTCATAGTGCCTCCGCATGTGGCCACCCAAAGCTTGGCCAGTTGTAAAAGTCATGTTACAGACGTTGCATTTGTGAATCCTACCGCTTGGGTTGAGATAAGGGATCATATTAGAGGTGTTGGTGATTGCAGTAGTGGTGGCGAATTGAGACCGATCGCGGTGGCTGGTTTTGTGGCCGCCGAGTGCTTGGTACGATGAAAAAGACTTTCCGCACACGCCACAAGTGTACGATATATTCTGGTCCTGCGGAGAAGCGATAATAGCAGGAGGAAAGGGTTCCATTGATTTCTTGTCATCATCGGAGGAGGCTAAAGCGGCAGTTCTTGCACTAGTGGTAGTGACTGCGGTGGCGGCGGGATTTACATCCTCTACGATTTCAGCGGTGGCGGCACTGGTGGCTGGACCAGTGTGCCAACTCCGATTCTCCTGAGATAGCATCAAGAGAGTAAGTGCTGCTTCTTCAACCTCCGTAGGTTGGCGGTTTCTTTCCTTGATGAATTGAAAACAGAGAGAGTCAAATTCGTTGGCTTGAAGCCCAGCCATGGATGAATTTAGGGCTTCACACTGTTTGTGTTTGTTCTGTGTGGAAAAAAAAAACGTGTGGGATTCGGAATGGAAAGACTGAGACAGTGAGAGAGAGCGAGAGAATGAATTACAGTGAAGGAATCAACGTTTAGGGCTTATATAGAGAGTAAGGTGTGGGACGTTGAAGTAGAGTAGACTAAGGAATTCGTTAATGCTGTAAAGTGTGCTTGTGCAGGTTAAGCGAGTTTTTTGGGGTTTTAGTAAATTCTAGGTGGATTAGAATCCTAACAAAGTCAAATTATGTTCCTACTTATATGCGGACACGTGTCAATTAATGATATTATATCTGGACCAAATTACTACAAAAATTCCTTTTTCAGGAGCAAAACCATATCTTTTCTTTGCACTAGAATTCTTTATTCTGTAGGATTAAACTCTTTGTACAAATGAAATATACGTTAATTTTTATCAATTATGCTGTACAAACAAGCTCAAGAACGGGCTAAAAAAGGAGGAACATGTGTTGATGCAAGATTGGACAGTTTGAAAAAAAAATCCAACCATGTGCTGCCTAGTCATTTGTCCAATTTTTGTCCGTCTGTAAACCTGTTTGACCATCATTATTCAGTTTTATAGATAATGAGGTAGCAAAATTAACTTGATAGGTTTGAAGTTGTATTTTATTCAACATTCAATGAAATTGTGTCATCTAACAATTTATCAAACTATTTGGCAAAAATTCTTATACATGTAGCATAATTGAATCCTATATGTCGGACCAAGAATTTTGGTCCTTTATTCTACATTTGTCAATTATTTCGCGTGATGAATTTTAATTACAAAAAGGCCCTTTATTCTATATTTATCAATTATTTCATATATTTATCAATTATTTCACGTGATGAAATCTAATTACAAAAACAAAAACAAAAACAACAACAACAACAACAACAACAACAACAACAACAACAACAACAATAATGATAATAATAATGGGGAATTCTGGTATTCTTTGCATTTTAATATATTATGTGCATTGCACGTAATTTTGTAAATATGTTTTGAGATTTTTTTTATTCAAATATTTAAATAATTATAATTTAATCGGTAACTGCAATTAGAATACAAAAATTTGACGTTCGGAAACACATTACAAACAACAACAACAAAAATTGTTCTACAACTTAAGGTCAATGGAAGAGTTAAACACAGTCAATTAAAGAATGCAAACAAAAGTGGTTGGGCGATTCTTTGAGGACAATATAAAATTCATTATATGTAGTGTATATAGTTGGCAATCATACATCGCGTAGGTAACGCTTATACATAAATTTCTCTAACAATATTGAAAAAAGAAGAGTTCTGAATGATAAGAAACAAAAAAATCAAACAAATTATATGAAATTATTAACAAACCAAAATTATTAAGTGTCTTTCATAATACATTAGTTTATATTTGTCAATCCCAATCCCACACGTTTAACACAATTAACACCACCAATGTGCAATCGTAAATCCAGATATTATAGCAGCCATTGAGGAGATATATAAAAGTCTACGCATGCACACATACAACTAAAATCACAGAGAGTAAGAGATTCTCTCATATTCTAACTCAAATGACACCATAATATTTATTATCATTTTATTTTATTTTATTTTAATTTAGAAGCTGTTTGGGCAATTTCAAATTGTTCTTAACAATTGAAACATTAACCAATCCATTTCAAAACATTTTGGTTTGATTTAAAACCAAAACGTTAATAAGTAATATTGGAATTAATGGTTTAGTTGTGGACTCCATTTTATTCAAAATATATATTTCACTCTTCTTTTCGGTCACGCACTTTTCAATAAAATAATATATTACACGTAAATCCAAAAATTTTCATTCTTTTTTAACCATGCATTTTTTTCTAAAAAATTACTATTTTAAATTACTTTTCCCCCGAATTTTGATTTTAATGCAGCCCAAACAAGGGCTTAATATAGATGATTTTAATAGGCGTTAATTGAAAAAAATCTCTGATAAGTGCATCAATTGGATGTGATCACTCTTGGTTCCATTTTATTCACTCCAAATCAATTCCATATAATTCATTTCCAATTCCTTTCTTCTCTATATTATGTAAAAATAATGTTCAAATTGTTTTGAGTTTATGTTCGATATTTAATATTCAATATCTTATATGCTAGGAGAATACAATCAAGTGTTGGTCTATCCAAAAAAAATTAGCCCTTGTTTGGCCCCATTTTTTGAAATGAAAATGGGTGAAATAATATATTTTTTATTTAAAAAATTAATGGTTGAAAAAGAATGAAAATTTTTCAATTTACGTGTAATATTATTTTATTGAAGATTGTATGGTTAAAAATAGGATGGAGAA